CTTTCAATTTCAGTACTTAAACTCATCAATCAATTCTTTTGTTTATGTGATAGACTGTATTTAAAATGAAGATTTACCATAAATTAAATATATCTTATATTATTAGATATGTTATTATAAAACATGCTTTAGTTAAAGAGTTATTGATACTTCAAGTGCAAAATAATAATATAAAACCTTAATAAAAATATATTTTTAAGTACTAATCACAAGGGCTTTTGATCTGCCTCATAAATTATCAACATAGATTTAAGACATTGTTCACATAGATTTAAGATATAATACATCTTGGATGGACAATCATATATCACTTAAATACATCACCACCAATTGCTCTTCAATTATTTCAAAATCATTCAAAGCTAATAGCAAGTACAAATCATCAATGTAATTATTGATAAATTTACCTTTTTGTTTCAATGTGTGACAACTCTAGTATAAGGTTTGATAATAGTTAAAATGAAGGAAGTGCTCCTTCATTTTTTTTTTCATATTGTCCCAATCACTAATTTTCAAATTTCTTTACCACTCTTGTGTTTATTTTTTCCAACTATTCTCACCAAATATATGCTTGACTTTTTAGTTTGACTACAATTAACTTAATTCATGCGAACTTCACAACATCATTTTACTTAAAAATCCTCTCAACTTTATTCACAACTTTTTCTAATTGTAAAGTTCCAACAAACTCATAAATTTTAATAAGATAATTGAAATCATCATATTTGATATCTCTCCATTCAAGAGGATGTATCGTGCATTTGGTTTTTAGCATTAGTCAGAGACCCCTAATCACTTTTCTAGTTCTATAAGCCCTAACCTAGTTTGGCATGATCAGACTTGTTTTTGGGTATAAACTTGTTCCACTAGTCTATAACATCCCCATAGTCTTTATAGATTAAATTCATATCTAGTTGTGTAAAATCACCACCTGAATGTTTAGAATGTTTTGTTTCCACAGGCCATGGCTGCATTACTTTGGTTTTATTTGATTAAATTATCTTATATTAGAAAGTTTTTACTAGGTCTAACCCTATCCCATTAGGCTATAAAATTGTGTTTTTTTTATTAAATTTCTATTCATGAATTTCTATGTTCGGCTTTATTAGCATGAAAGTTTTAGGTTAACTACTCATTGGTTACTTAGGTTAGCATAAGTTATTTAATCCTTTGTGAATCTATTTTGTGTCTTTCATATTTTATATGTTTACTTTTTTTAATCTTTCTTTGGTTGATGGTTGATTAGAGGGGTATAGCTCTTTCGTATTTTACATTAGTTTCAATCATTGTTATAGCTCTTTCGTTCGTTTGAATGCTGATGAAGGTCCTTTGCCCAAGCTATGCTACTAAGGTGGGCAGATTCATAATGCAAAATCATTTAGAATGGCTGCCATGGTCATCAATCATTAGTAAATACTAAATAAATACTAGCCACTACTCCTTTTTTTTTTCTACTCCTTTCTTTGAGTGCAATGCAGGCTGATTCTAACACTTTAATAGATCGAGGAGCAGCTAATGATGCCAAATAATGTTGAATTTACAAAAGATAATGAAGTGATGATGAAAAGAAAAACACAATACGGTGACACACGAACAGTAGTAATTAAGACGATATTGAAGGATTCCTTCAGCTGGACATGAAATACTGTTGATATTATTACAGATGGGAATTACACTGACAAGTGAGTAAGTGTAAAAACAAATGGAAAATTCAATTGTTGAGAAAAGTGGTGAAAAAATTAGACTGGTGTCGAAGAGGAAGACAATTCAGGGACATTTAGGGTCAGGCTCCATGAGATTGTAGCTCCGTGACATAATTCTAGTTTCTGATTTTATTTTTTTATCCATGTAGCCATATATTATATATAGTGTTTTGTCTTATGCTCTGCAGATACTCTGCAGTGAATTAATATTATTTTTATTTTTAAATACATAAAAAATATTAAAAGTGTTAGAAAATATTTTAGACTCAATAGATTTGGTTGATGATTATTATAAATCCAAGTAACTTTGATCAGAAATTTGTGGTAGGCCCACACAACTTGTATCTAGTATCTGTGCGTGATTTTTTTATATAATTTTTTTTATTTTTATAAAAAATATTTAAACTATTTTTAAGTATTTTAAATAAAAATTCTAATTAATTTTTTATAAATATTTTTATTTTTTATAAAAAAATATTTTAATTACTGTTGAAGTATTCTAGACAACAATGCTAATTGATTTTTTTGATAAATTGTTTTTTATCAAAATAAATATTTAAATTATCCTTTAAGAGTCATAAATAGAAATTCTTATTAATTAAAAAAATATTTAAACTAGCATTGAAGTATACTTAACAGAAATACTACTTAATTAATTTTTTTTATTTTTTATAAAATAAAACATTTAAATTATCCTTGAAGTATTTTAAGCAATTTTTTATATTTTTTTTAATAAAAAATTTATATTATCCTTGAAATATCCTAAACAGAAATCCTAATTAATTTTTTTATATAAAAAAATATTTAAATTATCCTTGAACTATCCTAAATAATTTTTTAATTTTTAATAAAAATAATTTAAACTATTGTTGAAATATTCTAAACAGAAATCCTAACTAATTTTTAAAAATATTTTTTTTATTTTTTATTAAAAAAAATTTAAACTATCCTTGAAGTATCTTAAATATTTTTTTATTTTTTTTATAAAAATAAATTTAAAATATTCTTAAATTATCCAAAACAGAAAAGCTAATTAATTTTTTATAAAAAATATAAAATATCCTTGAAGTATGCTAAATAGAAATCCTAATTAATTTATTTTTTAATTTTTTGTAAGAAAAAACATTTACACCATTTTGAAGTATCCTAAATAGAAATTCTAATTAATTTATTTATTCTTTAAAAAAATATTTAAACTATTATTAAAGTATTCTAAACAAAAATTCTAATTAATTTTTTTATTTTTTATTAAAAAATTTAAACTATCTATGAAGTATCTTAAATAAAAATATAGCTATGACAAATCTAACAAACTTACATATGGCGGCCGTGTCTAATTAATGTTTTTTATAAAAATATTTATTAAAAAATAATTAAACTATTTTTAATTATTTTAAATAAAAATTCTAATTAAAAACTTTTATAAAAAAATTCCAACTACCATTGAAATATATTAAACAAAAATGATAATTAATTTTTTATATTTATAAAAAATTTAAATTATATTTGAAGTATCATAAACGTAAATTTTAATTAATTTTTTATAATAAAAATATTTAAACTTTCCTTAGAATATCTTAAACATAAATTATAATTATTTTTTAAGAATTTTTATTAAAAAATATTTAAACTATAAATATTCTAAATATAAATTCTTATTGATTTTTTTATATTTTTTTATATTTTTTATAAATAAACATTTAAAATATCCAAAATAAAAATTTTAATTACTTTTTAATTTTTATTTTACTTTTTATAGGTTTTTGGATAATTAAAAATATTTTGGTAAGATGGCCAAGTCAAACCCAATAAATTTTGGTATGGCAGTCAAGCGTAATTTGATTAAAAAAAAAATTAATTATACATTTTAATTGACATAAAAAAACAAGCAACTAAAAAAAATATTAAAAAATAAAAATAAAATTTATATTACAATCTATAATAAAACATCTTGATTCACGTTGATATCTCTCTCTCTCTCTCTCTCTCTCTCTTGATTCACGTTGATTTCTCCAACACGGATTGTCTCTTGGGTGCCATTAAATGCCATTGAGGAGTGAGCAGTGTGTGCGCCTCTGTATTTGCTAAATTTGAAAGTGGTCCAACTGAAATGTCTGCCTATGTTTACTTCTGGAGGTTGTAGCTTATGAGAGGATGTTTTCACAGTGGAAGCGGCTGATTTCACTGTCTTGAAGCAAGGAAGTCACTTTGGTTTCTGAGGTGAAAATTAACGCGGAGAGAAAAAGAGCAACGAACCAAAGCAAAAATGATGAAGCGTGGCAGTGGTAATAAACAAAGTTGGATTTAAAGGCACCCGGCATGAGCAAGAGAGACCAAAGCACTAGCTTTTGAACATAGGTAGCTCCTCCCCTATCTTTCATACAAATTTTCACAGTTTTGGTTCTCAGAACAGTAGTGGCTGGGATAAATGTCTTCCACATTTCTTTCTTTCCAGAGAATTTAACTCATCAAGTAGGCTAAGTGACAGAGAACATGACAGCTACTGGGAAGGATGGCAAAGGATGGAGGTGGGCTCTTGTTGATCTCTCTGTTTTCTCTTCTTTAATTGTTCTTATCTCTCACATTTTGAGATGGATTGCCTCACAGTAGTCGTGAAAGCAAGAAAATGGAAGGAGAGGATAGTTTGAGGACTCTAGAATGCCTGAGAGGAAGGTTGATTGCAGAGAGACAAGCTTCAAAGATTGCTAAAGAGGAGGCAGAGCTCATGGGAAATAAGGTCTGTTCCTTCTATCCCTGACATCTGGATGGCCTTTAATTTACTTTTTTTCTTCTCCTTCTGGGTAGATTGATGTTATTGCATACTTCGCATTTGGGATGTCAATATACAACCACAATGCATCAATTGTAAGATCTTAAGTTTCATTTTCATGTATTTTTTGATGGTATAGTTAATAGAGCTAGAGAACAAACTCAGAGAAGAGATCAAATTAAGGAAAAAAGCTGAAAAGAAGCATAAATACTTGATGAAGAAGCTTGAGTCCTTGAAGATTTGGCCTGCATCAGAGGGATCAGAGAAGTCAAGTTCATCTGAGATTAGTGGATTTTGTAGCGCATCATCCACAAGTACTGCAGGCCACAAAGACCCCCAAGAATCTGAATCCAAGCCCCAAGTCATAATCACAGCAGGCTCACAAGATATGAATGAGAATGGCTCTGAAACAACTACATCCAATCAAAATATTTGTCCTGTTTCCGATTCCATCGGAGAGACTCAAAATTCAAATGCTGACAATAACCTCAAAGATTGTTCTTTAGATAAATCAAGGCATGAAACCGTTGCATGTTCACAAGATTCAAAGATTGATGATCAAAGGTATCAAGTTCAACATGCTTTGTCCTTTTCAATAGCCACTTTTATTTATGATAATTTAATGGGATTTCTTTAGGCTAATTAAGTCAGTATTCTAATAATCTCTTTCAATTCTGCGAGCATTAAATCATCAGTGGTGGAGATGGAGAAAAATGCAGGAAATGAGAGTGATAACGAGGCTTATGTGAATAATTCGTTGGCACTAGTCCCATTGAGTTTGCCAGCTTCTACCAAGAAAAGTGAGTTGAAGGTAGTCAATAGAAGTGTTACTGAAGTTCTTGACGCTTTAAGGCATGCCAGGGAGCAGATACAAAGCTCAATGGAGAGCAGACACATGAATAGAGTTTGCCCAACTTGAATCCATGTGTGTTAAATGCTAAGGATGTGAGATATATATAGCTAATAACACAAATAGCAGAAAGAGACATTAGGATGGGCCTGTGCTCTTCTTGCATTGGAGCAAGAAATGGCCAAACGTGATGAGGAGGGTAGAGCATAGATTAGTTAATATCATTGCATGGATAATAAAGTCATATGATAGTGAGCATCAAAGAAAGCATCTGATGTAGGGAATTACCAAGGATTTGTTGTCCAGTTGATGCTGGACCTGGGTCCATGAAGGTCGTCGTCTTTCTTGTTTTCGTTCTTTTTTCGACTTTGATTAATTATGATGGTATTTGACATTATAATATAATCCAACTGTATTTTTGAATTTTTTTTACTTCAAATTCATTATTTTTTTATATTTTGAAATTATTTGAATCTACCAATAATAAAAATAAATTTAAAAATTATATAAAAATTAAACGCGTCACTTCATTTTTGATTACTGTGACTTGCTCCAACCTGGAGTACTGGGCTTATGACAGCCGAGGCTTACTAATTTGTTTCTATAAATACATAGCGTTAAGGTTCAGCGCCCTTAGTGTTGTATTTGAAGCTACTTTTGATGAAGCTACATATATAGCAAATCAGTGTGGACAAAAGATGATACGATGCTGGAGACTTCGTAAGCTAGCATACCTTTTCTGTTTCTGAAGTTCATATATTAGGATCATCTTTATCACTAGTGCCAGGCCAGATTAACCCTTTCTTGGAAAATCTAACCGCTTTAATTTCACCGGAGGCTTCTTATAGATTTTATCATTTCAATTCAAATCCTAAAATCCATTTCACTCTGATTCAACCAAAAACGAGTGTCACTCATGGCTTTTGAAGTTAAGGAAGCATGCACAAAGCTTTAAAATAAGATGGCGGTGAAGATTTTTAACTCCCAGATTTTCAGATGCAGCCTTGAAAACTAGAACAAGACTTCAGAGGGGACAGAGCAAGGTTTTTGTCTCTAATAGTAAACCTGCCAGAACTTTAGTCCGAGTTTGCTTACTGCACACATTATTCCCTGATCTTGATGCGCATCTTTGTTTGGTCTATCCTTGGATTACATGGCATCCCATCACGTGTATGAGCATATCCAGATACCAAAACAGTGCATGTTTTTTGGATTAACTTGTAGACACTTCAAAGACGATGTTTTGTTGTCCTATTTAAGACAGTTTCTTGTACCTTCGCAAGGCACCCGAGGAGCATGGTCTTCTCCATCTTGCAAGTTCAGCATCAGCCCAAGAAAAGAATCCAGTCTTTTTCTTTGGGTTGCGTAAAGTCGAAAACCAAGCCAGCCTGTTGACTGTGGTTCGAGTGTCATAAACCCGATACCCATGGAAGGTTCAAGGATCAAAGTGACAAGCACCCAGTTTTCAAAAACACATAATTACAAAGTGATAGGTCCGAATCAAATCAAAGCTATGAAGATGCTTTAAGGAAGATAGAATTCTACTTGGGTGAGAATAGACGTAGTAATTTGTCTGGAATAAGCTTGCTTTGTTAACGACAATACAGAAGTTTAAATACAAAAATAACATCTATTCCTAATTCTGAGATCACATCTCTACGAAATAGAACACAACTTGGTAGCCAAAATTTATCCAAAAGCATATATAATAACTAATTGAATTATTTTTGAGCAAGCTTGAGGACTTGATCAACAAACAACAGCTTTCAGAATCTCCATGTATGCTATCATGTCCTAGATCATGCAAGCCCCCTACATGACATCCTGTGCATGTCCCCCTTATGACATCCTAGATAATGTAATGTCAAGTGCACAACTCTCCTACATGACAACTCCTACGCAAAATATTTTGGGTTTTTTGTTTGCACTCTTTGGGATGATCTTCTTGGCTTATCAATACCTCCTCTAATTGAAACCTTGCCCTCATATTTATGAACTTGTATTTCATTTCTTGAGTGTTTTCCCACATAGCATCATCTACTAGAAGTCGTTTTCATTTGACCAAGTATTCCTCGATAATTTTGGATCTTTTTTTGACCTAATTATTGTCTAATATTTCCTCTGGTTCCTAGTTAATTCACCATCTTCAGTTATTGGAGGTAACTTAATTAGTACCAACAACCATTGTTCCACCCAATTATTTTCTTCAAAAGGAACACATGAAAGACCAGGTGAATACAATATCATTGTGGAAGCCTGAGCTTGTAGGCCACCTTTCCAAGTTTTTCTTCAATCTCATATGGTCCGGAGAACCTGCTTGCAAGCTTTTGATATGCTCTTTTAAACACTGATTGTTGGCGTTTCGTAAGGATGAAGCTTCAAAAACACGAAGTCCCTCATTTTGTATTCAATGTCTTGTCGTTTGGAATATGCCTGCTATTTCATACAATTATTTGCTTCAAATTCTCTTTAAGCTGTCGGAGTAAGGCATCACGAGAAGCCAAGCTTTGGTCAACTGAATTGTCTAGACAAGAACCTTCGCTATCAGGATTCTCATATTTACTGATAAATTTTATCATTCAATTGTTAATTAATATATAAACGGAATCTTATATGAAAATGCTCCGTTGATAAAAATTTTTAGAGGTAAATATTTATTTATTGATAGTAAAATATTATAACTTATGGATTTATTGATAGGAAAAGAGCGTTGACAAAATTATCCACTTCATCGTATCAGTATTTTTCTTGAAAAGCTTATCATATAACCAATAAAAATACCAAATATAATTCCATTCCTGATTATTTAAGAATATTTTAAAAAAATCTATTTAATAAAACTAGAAAATAATTAAATTAATATAAATTAATACTTTATAATACTTAGAACTGAGTTACTTGGAAAAAAAATCAACTCAAAAAAATTTGCAACAAATAAATAACATAAAAAAATAAACAACAAAAACAACAACAACAACAACAACAAATAAATCAATCAACTAAAAATTGATCTCATATAAAAAAATCTTACAACAACATTTATACAATTATTAAGAACAGAAAAATTTAAAAATAAGATAAAAATAAATATAATAAAAAAACACAAAAAATAAAAAAAATAAAAATCTTATCTTAATGTAGTTGCTATTGAAGCTAAGAAGAAAAAAAAATTATAAAGTATGTTAATTAAAAAAATTGAGAATAGTAAAAAAAAAAAAAGAGAAAAGAAAACATGCCTGAGCGGGGAAGAAAAGAGAAAAAAAAAAGAGATAAGAAAACATGCATAAACGGGGAAGAAAAGAGGAGTTGAGGAGAGCAAAAAAAAAAAAATAGATGCTGATGTTTTTTACATGAGACGAAGAGGAGGATGAGGAGGAGAATACCTATATGTTTTGAAATGAGAGATTCTAATTTTTTTATTAAAATATTTTACTAATAGATAATTAAATATTAATATTTTTAATCATTTCATTTCTAATTCTATCTCTAATATTTAATTTAAAATTTTAATTTAATAAAAAAATTATAAAAACTGTCAAATATTACAAACGACATTTCAATCCGTTGTTGATTCTGTTTATAATATTTAATTTAAATATTAAATTTAATAAAAAAATTAAAAACTCGTCAAATAACACTCACAACTTTTTAATTTATCGATGATTATATCTATAAAGAATAATAATTATCAATGTAAGTGGAAAGTGAATAATTTAAGAGTTTTTTGGAAAATATTAACAATTTTCCATTGATAATTTTTTAAAAAATTAATATAATAAACAATGTTAGAAAAAATTAAAAAAGTTTATCAACAAGTTTAGGATAGATTTTACTAACGGTATTAATATTATCAATAATTTTATTGGTATAAATAATAAATTAATATAATTTTTTTATTTTAATTTATTTTTTATTTGTGATATACAAAGAAAATATTTTAATGAATAAAATTTATTGTAATTTACTAATAAAAATATTTTTTTAATATTTCTATTCAAATTTAATAATTTTATGATAGTGACCGAAGGTAATATGGAATCGTAGATGCATGATAGATAGTATTGCAGAAAAAGAATGCCACTTGCTGGGTTGGTGGCAGGCAAAGCACCGGAGATACTGTTCACTACAACGGCTGACCACTTCCATTTGTCATATATATATATATATATAAGCATCAGCTGTTTGAAGATGTGGGGTTGCTATTTTAGGGCATGTGCCAGTTATCTTTGTCACTTCACTTCAGTCTGAACTCAGGGGACCCGCTTGTCACCTCGTTTTCTTGTAAGAAGCTAGGCCCACAGATCACCCCCTTTTACTTTTATAATGAACCATGAAAAGACCCATACTTGCTCCATGCAACCCTTGCTAAAAACAAAAAGGGGGCAATTTAATTAATTGGGGTTGGTTTGGTTTGGTTTATATCCAAGTGCTTAATTAGGAAAAAAAATAAAAATCCAAGCTTAGTCAGATGTCTGCAAATGGAAAACATTAATTATCTAAGGGAACTTTTCTTGACGGGTCAAAAATCTTCAATTCCTGGCTTATTAAATTCTTCTTTCCCCGCTTCAATGTGATGAACATTAATGGGTTTTAGTGTAAATACTAGTTAATTGTTATAATATATATGATTGATTGGATAAAATAAAAAAATATTATATAAAGCTATACATATTAAAATAAATATTTTTTTATTTTTTAAATCATCTATATAAAACTTTAAAATAAAATTTATAAATGAATCAAAATTATATCTTTAAAAATTAAACACATGCAAAGCAATGTTTTTTTTTATATAAAAAAAAGACTAAATAAGCTAAATAAAAAATCATAGAGGAGAGATATTAATAGAAAAATAAATTTAATTAAAATTTATATTAAAACAAGATATAAATTAAAATCAAAATCAAAATTCAAATTAAAAAAAAAAAGATAGTGATAGTATAGGTGGTGTAAAGGCATTTAAAGGAAACAAGGAAACCAAACAATTTGGATTGCAAGCCCGACAAAATTTAAGTTAGTTTTATTTTAATTAAATAATTAAAAAAAACAATGCTAGTAAATAAATAAAATTTTTATAAATAAATACCACATTAACTTGAAAAAACAATCTTAAAAGTATAAAAACTAAATAAATAAAAGGACAATAAAATGACATGAATCAACCAAATTTAGCATGATAAACATATAAACTAGGTAATAAGAGGTGAGTCAACCTATATTAACCCATAAAATTTATTATTTATATTATGATACCGAAATAATTTGATAAAAAAATTGAGAAAAATCACAAATCAATTTTAAAAAATTAATAATATTGAATGATAAAATCAAGAAAAAAAAAGAAAAAAAAATTGTCCATCCATTTTAATATTTCAAACCATTGACTGAAAACACCTAAAATGGAAAAATCACAAGCTCAATCCTAACAAATGTGA